CATATGAATATTTTGAGTAAAACAAGTAATAATAGTGCTTCGATGAATTAATTTGGATCATACCGCCTTGTTTTGCTTAAGATTAGTCGCTGAAAAAGAGATATCCAACTTATAAGTCTATCGTTTCTACACCACAAACGTAACAATCCATTGAAACACAATACAACCAACTTTATCGCCTTTTACACATAAAACCGCCAATATATATTTTACAAAGAACATTTCCAGCTCTAAAGCTAAATTAATTGTGATAAAAATCAGATAGTCCGCAACCATGTCACGTAGGGGTTGAAAAGGGTGTTTCCGGGACTACGCCGATGTCCTATGTCTCGTAAGACACCTCTTTCGTATTATTTCACTTTCGTATTAAAGTACGAACTCTGGACCCTCGAACTCATCTTTACCTCAACGTGGTGGTAACTTTGAAACAAGTTAATTACGTTTATTTATTAGCTTAGCTCTTGTTTGTGATGGTATTAGTCAATTTGCTATTCTGGAACTAGAAAAAGTGGTTATATTTACTTCATTTTTTATTGTTTCTTGTTATATGATTGTTTCTACCATTTGACAAGGTAGAGGCAGATTGTGTCATAATTAGGTTTAGAAATACGACTCTTGTCACAACTAACTAAGTTCTGTACTTTCCTAAGCTTCCAATTAATCATTCCTTAAACAAACCCAACCTAACCCACACATATGTCTACTATGATCCAATCAAAGCATTCCGGAATCGTTTGCCAAAATTCATTCAGTTTTTGGATCAGATAAAGCTGAGACACTGACAAATGGTGGGCCGAACAGAACGGTCGTCGCTCGCGCCCATGCTTTTGGGATCCAACCTTCCCCATAAATCTACTTCGAAAAACTCAAATTAATCTTACCAGGGGATGTTTAGCTATCACTCTAAGATTCCCGGACCCCTAAAGTCATCGTTCGAAGGGAGATTTATTGATGGAAATTGAAAAGTGTCTCGATTATCTGTGAAGGATTAGCTGGAATTCGTAAATAGGGACACAGATTATTTACTGTAATGTATTAGCGTTTGTTCTGATACCCAATAAGTGAAGTTATTTGATGGTTTTAAGTAACAGTTGTTTTGTATTGTTAAACCTGGTATAATGTAGGAACATGTCTGAAAATAAGTACAAAAGCAGCGATTAAGGAAATCTTTAGTTTACTGTAAGCATTCAAACCATTTCTTGTTTAATTTACACTTGTAAAAAAATGCTACATTCACTTGGCAATAACTTAAGTGTGAACACAACACAGTGATAATGTCAAAGTACGAACTTATGACAAAAGCGAAAGTTACCAACACCTTACCGAGTTTACCGGGTAAACTTTCATAAAGTTGTAAAAGTAAATTATGTATAATTATTCACTTCATTCCGCTTAGGTGTGCAAAATGTTGTATTAAGTTACAGGCAAAAGTGAAGTTTTAACGTCGCACTTTGTTTAAAGGAACGATTATCGTCCGGAGTGCCTAGTATGTTATTATGAATAATTGATGCTGTATTGTTGTCAACTACGTTACGTTCTCACCAACTTTGTAACATAAAGTCCTGGCTGATTCACGAAATGCTTTAGGCCGTTCTGTGCTCATAATTTATGGAATAATAGGGACCTGTCATTGTTGCAAAACAAAAGTTTGCAGGGATATACATCAAAACTTTAGACTGTAGCATGTGGTTCTTAGTAAGTAGGTACAAACTAGGGCATTGCCTCTTTATCTTGTGTATTTACATATTTCTAAGTAAAGAGCATAAAAATCAGTATGGTATTTATGTAAAGCATTGTCTTCTCAATTTAAATGAACTTGCAAAAACAGAATCGACCACTTCAGAATGAAAACCCGCACTGAAATGCTAATCATTAGTTCAGTTTGTATAGAAAAAAGTATAAAATCTTTGCCCTGCGTTGTGATGATAAACGACGAGGAAAGACATACGTATTTAACACACACATTACAAGCTAGATCAACATCTACATCTTTACCTTTTCTAATAATCCCAGCGTTCAATAAGACAGCGAACAAAAATGGGTAATTTACGTGACAAGGTGGCGCTATAAATTATAGTTAACCATCTTACCAATTTCACGGAGGCGAAAATTTCGGCCTTCGTTAACAGATAAGCCTAAAACACGACGGCATTACTCTAGATGACAGATTTTATTGCTATCTCGTCTTCATTTTGATGTCACACAGATTTATTATCCTCTAATACTGAAAGCTTACTTTTATCCTATTTCATGCTCAGTCGGACCAAGCTGCTACAGTTTTATGAGTCGCCTCATTATGGTTTACTTAATTAATTGTACTTATTTGTAACAAGTAATAAGTAATGTCTTCATCTTCAGTCTTGTGGTCGTAATCTTAATTATGATTCCCGAGTTAAGTAGTATGGTAAATGAAAAACATCTCGCGTATTTCGAAGTTGCTTGTAGTACGCATGTAAGTTTACCTAAAGTAATCGTTTTTAAGGGGGGAATTCATCGAATGACTTCTCCCGTGAGGCACACCGTCTGGGTGCTCACACTCTTACTGCCTAAGAATCACCCCGTTCTTACTCCTGGGCTTCGAGCCGGAGTCCCGGCAACCCGTTAAGCCCTCCGCGGCTCCGCATCGGCATCAGCCCTATTGGGCCCCATCCGTGGTGGTCTGATGGCTCTATGTAGCGCGCGCGGAACGCGAGGCGACGCGCCATATGCTCGGTAATCTTAGGTCTATTATTCCTATAATTCGGAGTCGCGGAGAACCTAACGGGTAATCGGGGCTCCGGCTCGACGTGCAGGAGAAGGAACGGGGTGGTTTTTAGTCAGTAAGAGTCTGACACTCCCTCCCGCCTCACCCAGGCGGGAGCAGTAATTCGATGATTTTACCCCCTTAAAAAAAAAAATAAAAAAAAATTATTCCTATAATAAAATCAATAGATTTGTAAAATAAACACATGATACAGAATACACACTCATCATAAAGTAGGTATAGTAGGAACCGCATAAGACAATCCATTTCAACGTTAGCCTTTAGTTGGCAGTCAAATGGGCTAAAGATTTAATATATTTTGTGCAACAACAGTGTGAACTGAGCGGAATAGAGTATCGAGTGACCGCGATCGAGCCACAAAGTGCAGGATCGGTAAATGCTACATGTGGCTGCGTTTTATCACTAGCTTCGCACTCGACTACTGCAGCTGCAGCCAGATTCCCTCTCAGATTTTTTCAGAATTCTCAGTATTGCTCTTAGTATTAAAATTTATTTCGAGAAAACTTTCAGAAATCCCGTTTAACTATCTGGTGTGTTACAAAAGTACGATCCAAGTAATCATTCAAATATTTTAAACCAAAACCAAATCTATACTAATATTATAAAGAGGATAGAATTGTACCTATTTTTGTATGTTGGTATGTTTGTAATGAATAGGCTCAAAAAGTACTGGGCCGATTTAAAAAATTCTTTCACCAATAGAATGCTACATTCTTCCAATTTGACATAGGCTACATTTTATTTTGAAAAAAAATTAGGGATCCTTGGTAAAATTTGAACAATGTAACCGAAGGTGTAGATAAATGAGTCTTAAAATGTCTTTCGTCGAATGCACTGCCGAAACTATTACTAGCGATAGAACAAAATAATGTACAACAATATTGAAGAACATCATAATGTCTATTAAAAACTCCGCGGTAGCATATGTCCAACTATTGTAGTTATGTCACTACAACAATCCAAAATTCCAAAAATAAATAATTGTCTCCCCCGTGCGAAGCCGGGACGGGCTGCTAGTCTCTTATAAAGTCATACTTGTATCTACGAATGAAATTGGCTAGGCCAACCGATAACATGTCGAAAGAACACATTAACCTGTCGAAAGTCAACCCAACACGTCACTGTCGCTAACCCATCACAGAGTGTTAACACAGAAACCCAACCACGGCTTGAGTAACCTCTTTTTAGACTTCTCAGGAGTCGACAAGCCGCGTAACTCCGAACTTAAAACCACGTACAACCTAACACACCCAAACATGTACACTATTGTAACAAAATGATGTAACTTACCATGTTCCAAGTTCCCAGCGATGTAAACTACTTAAAATACAGTTTAGTACAATTAATTTTAGTTGTGAACATAAATTTCAAGTTTGATTTGTTCTGTGAAGGTGAAACTTAGGTATAATATGAGTTTTTTTTATGGCATAAGCCGATAAATGAACACATGTGGATCACCTGATGGTAAGCAATCGGCGTCGCCCATAGACACCTGGAACACCAGAGGCGTTACAAGTGCGTTACCGGCTTTTTGAGAATTAGGAGTTTGAAGATCGTTGGGGATTCAGGGATTGGGGAGATTGGGGAAGGGGAGGGTAGGGTTGGCCCTCCGGTAACCTCACTCACCCGACGAAACACAACGCAAGCGTTGCTTCACGTCGGTTTTCTGTGAGGCCGTGGTATCACTCCGGTCATGGTTCATGCCGAAGCATGGATCATGGACGCATGGACACTTAAAATGTCGGCTGGCTTAGACGGAACGGATGGGTTCAAATATGTCTATATATATAAAAGAAAGTCAAGTGTTAGTACGGTACGGTTGAAAATTGGTGGGGAGGTAACTTAGAACCAGGAGACGGAAATAGGATCCTTTTTATCCAGTACATATTTTTTTACTTTTTACCGTAAAGCACGAACGGGAACGGAGAAAAAACGGGATTGCGCGTACGGAGTCGCGGGCAGAAGCTAGTTAATAATAATTGAACTGTGGAAAATTATGTGGACGATATTTAATATTATAACGAGAAGAAGAACAATTAACTATGTGCTGTAACTTTTTAAATGGTTTAATGGAATTATTTTTCAAAAGCATGGGAGGTCTTCTTTTTATTCAAACGATATAGTATACTTTGTATACGCAATAGTATTCAGAATAAGAATATTTTATGAAATACAAAATCACTAAAAATTCATAGATATCATAATAATATATAATGCAAGTAAAATCAAAACTTGCTTACTTCGTTTCGTCACCGCTCCACGAAACACGCTCAGAAGCTTCATCATATTTCGCGTTTCGACCTACGACAAATAAAAAATAATTTCAAAGTCAGTATTTAAATTTCTTACCTCCATATGGGTCTATCGACAAAAAAGTCTCCCCTCTATTATTAGCGTGTTATTTAAAACTATATACATGTACTACCTACAATTACCGACAATTAATAATTACCTTGTGGTAGCATTGCTAAAAGTATTCCAATTTTGACAAAGCTTCCACAAAAGGTGTGGAGTGGGAGCCTTAAATAGGTACCATACAAGTGGATCGTCAATTGTGATAACACGAGTGGATTGGACGGAATATTTTTGCTATGTAAACACATATTTTATCAACTGTATATTTACCTATATATATTATGCATTTCTTTATGTCATTATTATTATTTACCCTACAAAAAATTGGATACGGATCTAACAATCGGCGTGACATGACAAATAACAAGTATTTAAAGTTAGTGGTGGGGATAGACCCACTTGTTTGCCGTGTCCGTCCTAAGCTGTTCGTCCTAAGCGCAGTTGACTACTACACGCCGTGGAAGTAAGTCGTCTCAAAAACAAACTACTTGTCGTACCACATTTAAGATTACTGTAACCTCTGAATGAATGATTTTGTAAGTTGGAATACCATAAATGTAAGTACTTATTTAATTAACATTTATAATTTCTCACCCCATTACCTGCATAATAGTATTTGCGTTGAAGTTGAGAACCTGAATACAAGCCAAACTATTTATTAATGCTGCATTCCATACGAACTCCAATACATTAAAATATTAAATCATGCCGCTATCACTATTCAACTCAACTATTGTGTTGATTAATTCTTCATCTCACCGCAACTTTTTGTCGAAACTGTCTTTTGAGGTGCCACATTTGTTACGTTGCTGGTTTTGACTAAGGGAACATCTAAAATGGTAGTCGCTGGAGGCCGCGGCGCCACGCATAGCTCCAGTCTGAAACTCTTCAGTTCCATAGCTGTTGGCATTACGCGTCTACATGGAACCGTAGAGAACCTTCCGCCAATTAAGCGTCCTATCTTCAACACGGCCTGTGCAATCACGGAATCGATCAATCGATCAATCAAACAAGATAAACTTGGATACATCCAATAGACATCCTTTTACTACAACATGCAGAAAGGCAATTAAAATTACTCACAGCACGGGTAGGCAGTGGTAATGCAGGACGAGCGTAAATTGGTGTCAACCCTAACAAAACCGATAACGGCACAAACATTTTCAAAATATTGAATGGCATGGCACCAAGAAGCAGCTCTGGGAAAAGAAGCACAGTTTTGAAATAGTCAACATTATTAACAGACCTACATATTTCCCTAAGTAAAATATAAATGTCTTTACTGTTTTTTTTCTTTACTATCAAACTTTTACTTACCAGGATATAACCTCCCAATATAATTACTAGAAGTCGAGAAAAGAGGCTTCACAATAGGATAAAAATCTGCTGTCCTTTCCCATATTCGTAAAATCTCACCTTCTTTCGGCCCTTCCACATATAACATCACAGTATCTCCGGTATCTAAAGCAAATCCTGTTAGCAAACCAGTACTATTGCCAGTTAATAGCAATGCCTCGTTTATTTCCGTTATTTGTCGTAATATAACCATTATGGCGCCATGGTCACTGATAAGACTATATAATCTAGAATATCTCGTATTTACTGGGTGAGGTTTACATCCTACAAGGCCTATAGATACTTCTAATGTCATCTGTGCCTCTAGGATTTTACTTGGTTGAATTACAAAATCTGGTTTGACCTTTGCTCTCATTGCATTTATGTCGTTGGTACAAATCCCTTCACGTTCCAGTGGCACTATATATGTCTCAGGAGGAAATAATGAGAATTCTCCTTTCACGTGACCATTGATTTTTTTTAAGGCTCTGGCATCAATTTTTGTCTGTGCAATCAGAATATCCACATCTTGATTGGGTATTGAGGGTGTTATGCCCGTTGCAAAATCTCGATCACATTTATCATAACCAAAAAAGTTAGATTTTTGTGGCTCCGGTGGTGTTCTTATTCCACGAAGCTGCAATCACAACAAAATTATTGAAAACCCAATCATTAAAATGTAACTTCCGATAAAATTTAAAACATTTAATAGAAATAATGAATTGTGACCTCTATACAAAAGGGTTCTTCCAAAAATATAGCCATCATATCAGAAGCTGAAGCATTTGACAATGGTACTGCGTGGTGATCTTTAAAATTAATCTGAGATTTAGATGTCTTATTCCCTAGAGATATTTGATCTGAAGAACGATCTTCGTCGGCGACCATCCATCTCGTATAAATATGAGTGAAACTATAACCAAACATGAAATTAGATAATTTAAAAAATATACGAAACGACAACTGTCTTCTATTTTTGTTCTTCAACATGAAATACATAATAGCCTTACTTCTATTTCATTTTCGACCTACAACCTCATCTTCAATCTTGTACCTTCCATGAAGTGTTCAAAATCCATTACCAAAATAAGTATGCCACACTTACTTGTTTTGTAACAAATGATCTACTGGAAGATCAGCTAGATTAGTGACGTTGGCGAAAAAAATCGGGACGTCGTCATAGGAGGGTAAGTTACCAGTGCTGATCAGAGCTACTACTTCACCGAGCTCTGGTAACCGGCAACCTGTGGTCACAAATGGTACAACTCTTCCAACTCCTGCAACATTATTTAGGTTTGGCTTATCCATTTACGACAAAATTGAATTATGAGTAGGTGAAGTGTGGGAGAGCCATGCTTCGGCACGAATGGGCCGGCTCGACCGGAGTGATACCACGGCCTCACAGAAAACCGACGTGAAGCAACGCTTGCATTGTTTCGTCGTGTGAATGAGGTTACCGGAGGTCCAATTACCCTCCCCTTCCACAATCTCCCTAATTCCTGAATCCCCAACGATCCTCAAACTCTTAATCCCCAAAAAGCCGGTAACGCACTTGTAACGCCTCTGGTGTTCCAGGTGTTCATGGGCGACGCCGATTGCTTACCATCAGGTGATCCGTCTGCTCGATTACCGGCTTATGCCATAAAAAAAATATTCTTGATTCCATAAAAAAGATGCATATCTCTACAAGCATCATTCATTTCTTTTTCAGATCTCTTGTAATTTTGCTAATTGTGGTTATGTTTAAAAATGTATATGTTAGTTACGTTTGAGTGTTATGCTATTCCTTATGTTACTTCAAATCATGAGGGTAAAAACAACTTTGTCTTGGACTATAGTTAAATAAACTAGTTGGTCTTAAAATTTAACCCAAACAATTACCAGCTAAGATCCAATCACCAGAAAGTTTCATATCAAATTTGGAACTCGTTTCTTCAGGTTTCTTTTTGTCAGTCTTACTATGATGTCCCTTATTCATATTTATCTCCGATTCGAGCAACGAAGGCTGATTTAAAACTGCATTATGTATTTCATCTAGTACTGCATCCTGATGCCTGGCACCTATAATTCATTGGAGTGGGTCAATTCAATGTCTTAACTCGTCGAGTACCGGTTTTGTAGACACAATTATAGAACAATAGGTTGCGGTCACCGGTGACCGCTTGGTGTTTAACAGTTTAAATAAATAGAACAGGATACTTAGAAGATCCTTAATTTTACATGTATCGGAGAGTGATCTTTATAGTAATCATCATTTTATTTTATTTTCTTATTTTATTTAACACTTTATGTACAAATGTGTATACAATGGCCGGCTTAGGCAACCATAGGGTGATGCAGGGATTTTACTATATAATGTACCGGTAAACGAGTAGACGGATGATGAATTACCTGATGGTAAGCAAATGGGCAACATCAGAATAATTGCAAGTGCGTTACCGGCTTTTTAAGTGGTAAGGAATTTGAGAATTAGCGATGGGGAAGGGAAAGGAATGGGACGGATTTTTTTCTAAAAACTCTGTATAATAAACAAAAATATCTACATAAAAAGAAAACACTACATATAGCACTGAAATAAATACCATAAACTGGATATGGTGTATCGAATAGGCCATCTAAATACGTGGTCGGGATATGTACCACAACCCGATACCATATTAAGTCCCAAATATACTTCTTGAGAGGATATTCAGAGTCAAAAGCCTTGGCGAATTGACGTCGTTCGCCGAATTGTAATGGCGGGAGATAAATGTGAGATTTCTCGGATTTAGCACTGGAAAAATATTGATCAATTTAATTAATAAATAAATATAAACAGGTACAAAATATTTGCTTTCATCTAAGCAAGTATACAGAATGTGCTTAAACTAGTGATTAAAAAAATTCAATACTTAGCACTAAGTACGGATATTCCGGGGTGTGGTGTCACTATTGCCACAAAATTACGAAATTCCGTCACTCTGACTGGAAATGCGTGGCTGATCGAGAACGTCAGAAATATTCTTTCTAAATAGTGCCACGTTCGAACCCAATCATAATTATTTCCACAGACGATCTGTGATGAAATAATAATAACATTGTTAAACTGTTTTAATGAAACTCAACAACGTAAAAAAATATTTGAACCGATGAACAGAAAGGGAATAGTAAATTATCTGCAGTGCATATTAGTACCTACATATTATTATAACAATAATACAAAATCTTATTTTCTTAGGTACCTTAGCCGCGTGTGGATATACTACTACTTCCACCTCAAATATCTGGCCAGGATACAATTGATACACCAATTTGACTCCATGAATTATACTTCCAAGTTCAACCCATCCTTCGCCACTATCACTCCAGACTTCGCTCCCCACCACTTCTAGCGCAAAAGTAAGGGTAAACACGCTAGGACCAAACTTAGACACGTCTACAATTGTTAGCTTAGACTGTGGTGTCTTACTCATTTGGTTTTCTTTTAATTTAGCTTGTATACTAAATTGATTTTACGTTTGACATTGACGATTATAACGCCACTGTTCAATTGATATACAGCGTGTTATGTATCGGATTTTCGATACATCACCCACGTAGGTATTGTAGGTAGGTACAAAAATTTTATCATCAAAAGACCACGACTTTGGATCGCATATGACATATTTTAAATGTACCTATAGAATTAACACTTCTACAGTTATATTTAAGTATGTATGTACAAAATTTAAATTCCCGAGATTATAAATATGTATAACACACGATATAGCTGTATAGTGCTTAGGGGAGGAGGACATTCTTCATAATTTCAGCTGTTCATCAATGTTTTAGGATATAGGTAGGTAATGTGATTGGCTACACAAACGAAGTATCGGAAATCGGAAACCTAACAACCCGTATATTGTAATAAAAAAAAATTATGTATAAAAAAAGAACACCTGTATAACACATTGGTTTGTACGTATTTGTTTCTGTGATTCACTGAGATTGTCTATGTTGTTTTGTAATAAAACTTTCTTTGTGCCACCTCTCCCTGTCTCCATTCACGAATTTAGTAGACATATCGGTAGCTACCTATCTATTTCATTAGATATATTATTTGATATAATTATTGCTACTTTAGACTACTAGAGTTGAATCTAATAAAGCAACTATATTTAATAAATTATTAGGTACGCAATAGTAAAAGTTAGTTTTGTTATACTAATGTCGTAATTGCGAGCGATTGGCAGTGACTCTAAAAATCTGTGAATCGTACCTACCTACCTACATACTTATTAAATAGTTATACATACATACTATTATTATGTACTCGCTTCTGCTAGCAGATTCACTCGCGTTTCCGGGGGTGAAAATGAGCCTGTGTTAATTATGTATTAATCTAATTTAAAAATCTAGTAGTCATTTAAAAAATAAGGGATCGATGAATTTAAAACTTATACTTTCAAAAATATTACCTAGATAAGTATTTTATTATCACGTTCTTAATTATTATAATTCTATTAAAACTAAGAACCTACCTACCCGGATATCTCCTTTAATTAATCATGTCATTACATTTGCGTTTCGCCAACAAACACTATACTTAAGTAATTTAATAATGCACAAAACCAGTCCTGAATGCGCACAAGCAAAAAGCCGGGAAAGCTTATTATAAATGAAAATATCTGTTCCCATTACTAATTAATCCAAGTCTTCGGAGCGCAAACTTCATTATAACTTTGCTATTCGTGCAACTCGCAATCCTGTGAGACGATCAAACTCATTGTGAGAGTCATTCCATCAGCTAATAGGACATTGATAATCTTAGCTTCGTAATCTCTCTAGTTACTTTAGGGGTATCTATTACTAATATTGGATATTTAGAGAACATTTCAAATATTAGGTATTTTTTTAAGGGGGGAAAATCGTCGAATGACTATACTTACTGACTATAAACCACCCCGTTCCTTCTCCTGCACGTCGAGCCGGAGCCCCGGTAACCCGTTAGGTTCCCCGCGAAACATCATTATCTACTCTGTAACTTTAGTCTATTGGTTAAAAAAATTAATAAAAGCAACAAACATTTATTTTAAGAATTGGGCACAGAATACTACTTTGGGATTATTGCCTGCCTCGTTGGTCGAGTGGTTGCAACTGCGACTACCGCCCAAGGGGTCTCGTATTCGATTCTCGGGTCGGGCAACGTATTACTGGGTTTTATAAAAAATCTCAGTAGTTATACATATATTATATTCCATATACCGGGCACATTTCCAGATTCTCTCTCTCTATTACTTGGGACTCATTACATAAAATAGTGAAACGTGAAAACGTGGGTATTAAGTGAAAAACCATTGTACAGTGGCATTAAGTGCCCTAATGTGCACCTCTGCCTACACATTGAGATACAAGGCGATAAAAATCTTAAAAAAGCTCATAAGACCTAAAATAAATCGTTGTTTGCAGCTAAATATAAGATAAAAAAAATTAGACAGCAGATGTTGTGGAGGGCAAATGTTAGTTACCTACTTCATTTAAAATACGTGTGTTAGAAGTAAAATAATTGAAAAATAAGAAGAAAATACACAATGCGCCGAGTTTGGTCCGCCCCATCACAGAAAATCTGGCCATGGTACGTGTTGGGAACGACCTATATTGTTTCTTATGGTAATATTTATGAACCATTATTTTTAAAATCTGGTGACCTTCCTTAAATTACCTAATTGAATGGTAACGACATTATGATGTCAGCGCAATGGCGGGAAAGAGGCGATTCGTTCCGAAATACGATTTAATTAGGTACACCTGTATGTTATTCGGTCATTGTATAGATTTATGCAGTTACATTATTAATTAGCTTTCTCATTAAGTAACTATGTGATTTAAATGAAATGTACATAGATACCTACAGTGTGTAATTTTTTATTTTTACCCCTATTTGCTATATTTTTATAGATTTTGAATGTTTTGTAAATTTAAATATCTGAGGTATATACCTCAGATATTAGATAGGGAGATATCTCCCTGTTAGGTAGACACAAAAAACCCATGTAATAAAATAATTTTATTACCTTAAAATAATGGGTTACTCACGTGAATATACTGAGAAAAGCTCTACTAGTTTCAACCACAGAGGGGTTCTTCCTGATTAGCAGCGTGCGCGGTCGCGGCGATATCGCACAGCCTACTGACATATAGCCGCGACCAGTAGGTACTTTCACGTGAGTAACCCGCGATTTTTAGTTTATTAAAATAGTAGGTCTCACGATAGTTGTTATTATCAATTTTTTTATGATTCATAATCGTTGCCTTTTTTGCACATAAGTACAGGCTGTGAGTATGAGCACCTTCATTTAGTACTAGTAGCCATAGGTACAGCTTGGCAAAAAAGAATTTCACGCGGTGACAGCTGTAACTAATATTGACTTGGACTGAATCACCCACTTCGGACCATATCCTTGCCATATCCCATGAATGTAAAAACAAACATTCGAACACAATACCTTCTCTTTTTAAATTCGATGTAAATATCAAAACCGATTGAATTGTAGTGTATCAGGTTGCCACAGGTCGATACTAGCGACCTCAATTATTCCAAACTCAGTCTTGTTTTGTAGGTCACCTTGATCTAAATCACTCATAATTAATCGTAATTTTCTGAGATATTATGATGTCGTTTTACTTCCATTGTCTTTGAAAATAAACACAACCTATTTAGATCTTAGAATTTTTTTAAGGGGGTAAAACAATCGAATGACTTCTCCCGCCTGGGTGTAGCGGAAGGGAGTGTCAGACTCTTACTGACTAAAAACCACCCCGTTAACCCGTTAGGTTCTGAGATCAACATGTCAAACAGGTCTAAGGACTTTCACAATACACATTTGACATAGCACAGCTTATTGTAAGAGCCGGTTGCTCTGCAACTGCAACGTGTCATGGGTTCGATACCCGTGTCTCCATTATCCGTCAAGCAGAAATTTTTTCTAAAATACCTACCATGAATAGACATGAGTCTGTGTTCTAAAATATTATTATAATACAATCAGTTCATTTTCACTTAGAACGTAAATTGCTTCCTTTCCTTTTATTTTGATAGTGTTTTATAATATAATTTAATTTACCAATCCTCAATCACAGAATAAAAAAGCTAATTTTATGACAGAAATATGTATGAAACCAAGGATGTATATGAAACATAAAATGCACCACCCACAATACTTAGGTAGATATTTATTATTTCCATTCTAATTACATAATTAAAATAACAAAGTCTCAGAGAGGTCAATATAAGCACTATGTACCTACAGATACTATTGTTGATTAGCATAATAGAATACAGAGTGTAACCAACATTCAGTCGTGGGTTGTGTCTGGTCGCGTTTGACGTTATATTTTTAATAGATAAATTTTAATTTATTTTTTAATGTTTTGAATGTTTATATGCTTCACTTTTATTGGGTATCATAATTGTAACGCGATTGTGTTTATTGATAATAATTTAAGAAAAAGGATAAATTTTGCGTTAAAATTTCACGTGATTACAATTTATATTATAACGTAACTGATATAGATAATTTGTCATTATCAAGTGTTATCAAATAATATTGGAACAGGCGCAGTTGCGTTTACGAAGAACGTCTTAATTTCTCTTTGCGAGAAAAAAGTAAGGTTATGGTTATGTCACTGACTGTCAAAGTGCAATAATTCGTGACCGGTTCGGTGTTTATTTACAAAATAATTACCAAAAAAAATTTGAAAAATGTCGTTGTGGAAACTAAACAAGTGTATTTTAGATAAATCCATGTAAGAATTATATCTGTTTCATCACTTGTACTTAAAATAATGTCAAACTAAGACATAAATAATATAAAATATTTACGAATATTACAGGACCGTCGTATCATCTAAGGTTCCTCAAACGGGCTCTACATTTCCATTGCGAAGGAATCAAACCGAAGTACAAAAACCTCCTATTGGGCAGTCGTATAATAAAGATTCAACTATTGATGCCGCCGACGTGAAATTCTTTTCCCATAAAATGAAAGACTGGTGGAATCCAAATGGGGATTTAAGTTTGCTACACAGCATGAATTTAATAAGGTAAATCTCTTCATCAATAATTATTAATATTTTATCAATTGGAAAAAGAAAAATTGTCTAAAGGGTGATAGTAACATTGAAATTTTTAATGTTAACATAACATCACGCATTTTATCCTCGAAGGAGTAGACATAGATGCACATTACGGCACTTAATGCCATTGTACAATGTAATATTCATTAGTATTATGAGTCCCATGTAATAGCAGGTGAGCCTATGGCCATATACATGGCACAATTCCTGACCCCGCGCTAATACTGTAATTTTTTTTTTAAATCTATTAATACTTTGCCTTGCCCAGCATTCGCACTTGCAACCACTCGGCCAACAAGGCAGTTAATGTGTAATGTCCATTGACCAAAATAGTATTTCAAAATTCAGTTTTAAATTTTCAGGGTGCCTTTTGTCAGAGATGGCCTAGTAACTGCTACAAAGAAAGATTTACATCCTCTGAGGGATAAAAAGGTTCTGGATGTGGGCTGCGGAGGAGGCATTCTGTCTGAGGTAAGATTCAAAAGCATTATTTTGTTTATACATTTTATATACATATAGAAATTTTAATTTCTATTGTAAAAAAGCTTATGGTATGGTATCAATAGAAATTAAAATTTCTATTGTAAAAAAGCTTATGGTATTCCCACCAACCCCTGTGAGAATGGCAGGGTGGATACAAATTGTAAACGGAATGCTCCCGAAATGCTAACAAAATAAAAAGTTTTTGTTTTGGTATTATTCATGCAGCATCAGCATGGAACAGTTGTCTACAACTATTATTACATAAAAGAAACATTTAATTCCTTACTACTACGAAAATGAAACTTGTTATTTACCATCACCTGTTGGCATTTTTTGCGGGTGTTCCATTTACACCCTGTATTTTGTCGCTTTCGTATTTTTCTTGCTGGTATATTACAAGTCAACTATGGAACTATACATTTTATAGAGACTAGGTTATATGTTGGTTGCATATGACATGACATGCTTCATCACTTGCCACGAGGCAAGATATCTTCAAACATTTCCCATCAAATATAAAAAACAAAAAGACTAAGTAGCAGCACTCTCTAATAACTGATCTCCAACTCGTCTGTGCGAATTAAAACATGGAAAATCATCCCCTAAATTTGTTCATACAATAGTAGTCTCTAAACATTGGAAATAAGGTCTATAATGTAGTTAGTATAGAGCGGTCACCGAGGACCGCTTGGGGCACACTTCTGTGTCTGCCTCTGTAATATTATCATGCTAGAACACATCCTTTACCAAGTTACTTTGGTCTTTACATTTATCATTTACCTGTTATAATAGTACTTAGAATTTGGTCAGTCACTATTGCAACACAGAACTAATTCAAGTCAACAAACCTATTAAAAATTAGTCATGAGAATTACTTAACAACAATAAGGAAATTGTTTTTGTTCACAACCTTCATCTATAATTTTAATTGTAATTTTCTACGCCATGCATAATGTTCCTGATTATTTTAGAGATAATAATCATCTGTGAATGCATGCATAATAAACTCCTTAGTACAATGATATCATATGATCCAAAACAAACAAGAAATAACTTAACTTTTTTTTAACTATTTGTATCTATACAGATCTATAATAAAACTTAGTGTCTGTTTTACATACAATACATTACATATACCAAAATAACACTTACAATTTTTGTCTGCCTGTCTGTCTGTCTGTCTGTTTGTACTGGCTAATCTCTGGAATGGCTAGACCGATTTTAACAAGATTTTTATTGGCAGGAAGCTAATGTACTAAGGAGTAACATAATATGCTACTTTTATTTTAAAAAAATGCAGACTAATTTGCGGGTTCAGCTCGTTTATTCATAAAAAGTGTGTAAATGGTCCATATTAACTGTTTTGTCGAATGGCTTGCTACCCGTTTTTATTTAACTAGGTGCTTTTGTACATTTTAGTTATTGTGTAATCTAACTATACATTTACAACTTACTTATTGTATGTACAGTATCTTTCAAATGCATATATATATATGAGTACTAGCTTCTGCCCGCGACTTCGTACGCGCAATCCCATTTTGCCCCCGTTCCCGTTCGTGATTTTCGACAAAAAGTAAAAAAAAAGTACCTATTCTATAGAAAGTGTCCTATGTCCGTCTCCTGGTTCTAAGCTACCTCCCTGCCAATTTTCATCTAAATCGATTGAGGCGTTCTTGAGTTATAAAAAGTGTAACTAACACGACTTTCTTTTATATATATAGATGACACAGCCACAAGAAACATTACAAGATTCGGCCCACATCTTTAAAAAGAAATGTATGTAACTAGTTAATTCTCATTTCTTTTTCAGGGGCTGGCAAGACTTGGAGCTACGGTCACGGGTATTGATGCTAGCAAAGATCTAATTGACATAGCCGAGAATCATAAACATGTTGATCCTAAAATAGCGGCAAACAAACCGACATATATTCACTCTACTATTGAGGTAAGCATACCTTGACCAGTAAGGTATATTAGAAGTCGCGGAGAACCTAACGGGAAACCGGGGCTCCGGCTCGACGGGAGACGGAACGGGGTGGTTTTTACTTTTTTAGTCAGTAAGAGTCTGACACTCCCTCCCGCCTCACCCAGGCTGGAGCAGTCATTCGATGATTTTCACCACTTAAAAAAAAAGGGTATATTAGAAACTAGCTTCTGTCCGCGCCTTTGCCCGCGTTCCCTTGGGTTAAAAAATAGCGTGTGTTATTCCAGATCATAATATCCCAATCCCTTCTACTATTTCCATGTAATTGAGTAACAAACTTTCTCATTTATAATATTAGTAAGAAGATAAATTACTTGATTTTCATATTAGCTACAGTATGTCATAAACAATTCTAATATTTAATATATTTTTTTGGTAAATTGTGTCCCAAATATTTTGGCATTTCCACAGTTACTTTGCTTTTTGCTTATTGCTATTTTATATATTGAGACCCAAAGCATAATATAATAATATTACTTATAATTTAAAATTCGACTGTTTTTTCTTTGTCATGACCTACCGTTAGTTAGATTATCTCTTTCGCTTTCATACCTGAAATGCTCATTAAAGTTTTATGGACGGGTTTTTATAATATAAGAGAAATAGTCTTCTATAGAATTGATTCTTAAGGGAATTGTTTAATAAAATGCATGTGGTCAATAACCATATTGAATATTTCAGGAGCATGCTAAATCAGCATCCAATCTCTATGATGGAGTAGTGGCTTCGGAAGTGATAGAACATGTAAACAACCAGGAACTATTTGTCAAGTCTTGTGTACATGCCTTGAAACCAGGGGGCAGAATATTCTTTACGACCCCTAACAGAACGAGATGGTCACAAATGTTTATTATATATTTTGCTGAGAATGTACTTAAAAGCATACCTAAAGGGGCCCATCAGTATGAGAAGTTTATTACGCCTAATGAACTAAGTTTTCTGTTAGAAAGAAGTAAGTATATTATATGTATGTATTGTATGTAGTTGTTGTTTATTATTTAAAAATTATGGTGTGTCCACATCGGTGCGTGCATTTGTCATGAACCGAAATCGACGTGAATTGAAACTGATCACCTGATGGTAAGCAATCGGCGCTGCTAAAGGACACCTGAAACACCAGAGGCGATACAAGTGCGTTACCGGCCTTTTGCAGATTGGGAATTTGAGGATTGTGGGGGATTCGCGGATTGAGGAGACTGGGTTGGGCCTCCGGTAAATGCGAGCAGCTTATACGTCAGTTTAGAAAAACCGTATTATACTAACGAGCTGTTATATATAAATTAGGTTAAGTTGTTTACAAATACTAAAAAATAGAGATACGATACGAAAATGTATTTATCCAAATGTATAATTCTGAAATTAAGTATATTAGTACGAATTTGTTTTACGTTCGCGTTCGGCGCTCTGATTGGTTGGTTCACTGGAGCCGGCCAATAAGAGGGCCGAAACTCGCTTTAAGCCCTCTGACTCTATAATTTAGAGGTGTCCCAAAAAAAGACATTTAAGACATTAATTATATTTTCTTGTTCCAGATAATTGCCACGTAGAACTGACTTACGGCGTAACATACAACCCAGTTACTGGCCATTGGGACTTCTCGCAATTTCAACATCTGATGTACGCCATCCAAGCAATAAAATTAAGTTAATTTTCAAAGATAGACGTTTATCTTAAGAAAAATATCGGTGTCAGAATTTTAAGTTTATTTGATTTTTAACATAAACATGAAAAATGGTATAAATTGTTACAAAATGTACGATTTTTAATAGAACTGTTAATTTATTGCATTTAGAGTATTATTTGTTGAACCTTATTCTTCTATGAAACGTAGTCCCTGATGGTGCGATCCATGATGCCCTCCTTATTATAAAATGCACATTTTATTGCATTTTTCTTAATCACATACATGATTAAATCATTATGAGATAGAATAAAACACGAAAATATTAAAATCGCACTTGTTATTTAGGGCTCGTACACAAAACTGCGATGTAACGTCGCATCGCAAAAATATGAATGTGATCTTATCTTCCCAAAAACTTTCTCTCTTTTTCCTGTATCTTCTAAGCAACAACCGAAGTGCACGCTTCTTTTTACGATCCATGTCACGACCCAGTTTTCAATTTAAAATACGTCTAGTACGGTTGACGATCGTCGAAGGAATGGTCACCTTTGAGACGCCTTGTCGCACGAAATCGCATCGCAGCAATTCGCATCGTAAATTTTTGCGTTGCGAATTCGTATCGTTCATATCGCATCGCAGTTTTGTGTACGAAACGAACCCTTAAAGAGATTAAACTGTGGTACACTAGCGCCATCTGGGGAGTACAGAAATGATATAAAATTACGGCACGGTTGGTGCGCTGGGCTATCGTTTACCGAGGAACGTGTCCGGTTCGATTTTGATGGGATGGGATGGGCGTAACTCTAACTCTTTGTGTGATCCATAAATTGTTGTTCCGGGTCTGGGTGTCATATGTATGTGAAATTTTATGTTTCTAAACGCACCCACACACACGACACAGTAAAAATCTAAGTATGGGGATCATTTAAAAAGGAGTGGTCTCATTGCTCACAGTTCCATCGACATCTGCACTCTTTTTTATATACCTAACTACCAGAGAAGAGAAGCCCAAAAAATCTGTAACCAAAAGTGCTGTCATCCATGACGTTGTCATTACAAAATTAGAAGAAAACAAAATTGCAAAAATGCTTTAGGTCTATTGTGCTAATTATTTAATAATAGTTTTTAAGAGTAGTATATAGTGATAGTAGGTATATGAGTATGTCACTAACCAAGCTCTTAAAAGCTCCAGTAAAATTGTTTAAGAAAGAAGTAATAACATTTGTGGTCGTTCGAAGATATGACTTGGGGGGTAAGTACCTTTTCGTATCTTTGTAACCAACCTAGCCAGACTACGCGACCAAAGAAGGGTAACGTGTACCTATAAAGAATTTGTCTTTGGGTACTACCTTTATTTGAACGTAACGTACACGATTGCATGGTTGGCGCATGGCTAGACAACTGATTGTTGCCGAACGCGTCACAAGTTCTTTTCCTGTCGGGAACTATTCCGTGTGATTCCCAAAGCAGATGTTTCTCTATTAAGTACCTAAGTACCAATTCTGTATTCCGCATGAGAGCTCTAATTTTTTTAAAGTTACCATCCATATGAAACAAAAAATATTTCAGTAAAAAGAAATCGTTTAAAGCAATAACGCACTTATTATTACTGTTAAATAATCATTTTAGAGCTCGAAGACAGTCTCCGCTACATAGCAGTAAGGCCTTCGGCCTCGATTTCGGTGTTACGTCAAAAAGTATGGCATTTACTGGACCTGCCCGATTTTTGTGAAGAGGTCATCCTACTCAAGGCAAACAATGAAGTGATACCGCTGACCGAGTTAAGAAAGGGCAATGACCCCCAGAACCCGTTCGTCCTTGAAGTTTGGTTGCCTAACCATGGTGATCGTCTTACATGTAAGTGATATTTTTATTGTACCTGGTTATACCCTAGAAAAAAAAGGTCTTTATTCCACGGTGCATCTTTTCCGGATGACACGAGACATTGATGTTGAGCCTTAATTAAAATGAGATTACCTACATTAAGTGCGTACAGGCGGGACCGTCTTAGACTACGCTGGGGCCGTTGGGCACACAACAATTCGAGGTCGTAAAGACGGTACAGGGTACAGAGGCCTTAGTACCAGTTTGTTTTACGTTAAAAGTAATCGAAACGAGACTGCAAAAAAAAACTCGTACTAAGCCCTCAAGTTCACTCAACCGATAAGTCCTAATGAGTTAATCTCACGTTACCTATATACCTATCTACTGAAGTACTTGTGTTTTTATCACCTTTCTATAACACCGACTCTTTGAAAAGAGGTAGGTAACACGCTAAATGATTCACAACGTGTAACGTAAGTCATTTACAGAATAAATTATCACATTTAATGTTGACAATGAGCGAGTATCAGCTACTGGTTACCAAATAATTTGATGTGCGCAATTAATCATGTACTTACAGCCTCAACGACTGTTCATAACAATATGCTGACCATCGGCAATGGAGAAAATCAATCGCAATTTTCAAATAGACATAAAAATGATACAACGATCTACGAGAACACCCTCAAGGAGCACGACGATAAATTCTGTGCTGGTACCTGCTTTTGTGAGTATTTTTAACCGACTTCCCAAAAAGGAGGGGGTTCTCAATGTTTTTTTTTGTTAGTTTATTCCTAAAATAGTACATTCTAATTGATGTAATCTGTTGTATTCTGAAATTCTAAAGGCGCGCGGATATTTTTGTAGGTGTACACTAGAGATGTGCCGACATAACTTAAACCCTGCGACCGTTAAGAATTCGATCAACATCCTCAGTGCTAATAAGTTTGGAAATGACGTCACCTAGCCCCTGATTGATCCACACTTCCAGGGACATCCTGTATAGAAAGTGAAAGGTTTCACTTTCCCATTCCACCCGTCGCGTTCATTACAATTTGAACTTTCCAACAAACCAGTCGATCACGACACCATTTATTTATATAAAACCTTATTCGCGTGTTAATAAGGATCATTTTAGTTTAATAAAGATAATTTGTACCGACCTAACATAAGGTTAACATACTAAAAAGGAAATTTCTATGCAAAGAAACGTTTGTCATTAAAATATGTGTCTGTGTACCCAACATATGCATGGTCATGTCTCGACTGACAATTATCTGACTATCTGATGACTAAATAGGTTTTCTCTTTAAAATATCTTTGAAGTTTCTAACTACAACAATCTTACTGAACTGGCTAACCAGGCGTAGTAATGGTATGACAGAAATATCACACGTTTTATTTCTAAAGGAGTACGCCGATGGACTGCTACATAGTACAAGTACAATTGAAACTGTCAAACACCAAGCGGTCACCGGTGACCGCAACCTATTGTTCTATAATTGTGTCTACAAAACCGGTACTCGACGAGTTAAAAACTCTGTACCTATTTAGGCTTTTTTTGTACTCAAATGAAATCAAATGAGACTTTCTGGTCGTCAGTAACACATACCTACTCCCACTCAAGTGCTTGAACTTGGCATAATGCCTTGTTCGCACTATGCTAGTATTTTAGTCGAGCAGCGAATGTTCTGTTATATCCCTTTCGCTTCTGTCCCAAAATCGAAGCGAGAGAGTTACTAAATACTCGCTACTTAATTAAAATACTAGCATAGTGTGAACAAAGCATAATAATAGATAACCCATGACCTCAAAATCATGACTTTTAAAACATTAACTCCGCGATTAGAACGTTAAAACAAATTTGCTATTTAAGTCAAAGTCAAAGTCAAAGCATTTATTTCAATTAAACCATAGTTTGGTACTTTTGAAACGTCAACAAATACAAAATAAATAATAGTCTGTCAGTCAGTCCGTCAGTGAAGCTAGGTGCTCATTCCAAAACGTAGATTCGAATGGAGAAGAACGAGCAAGAAACTCCATTCGTTACTCTTTTAAAAAAGTATGTGTTAAGTGTATTAAAGTCTAATCAGTCAAGTAATATTTTTCAGCTCAATCAACACTATCGAACGAAACAATGGCGTTTAACAAAGTTCGCATTGCAGCCAACAAACAAACGGCGAACACTTTACTATCGGATATCAAAAAGTCTGATATATCTTGTCGAATCTCCAGCACTTCACTCTTCAGACTGAATAGAGGGAAGAGTCGCGATAACTTTACGAATATTTTGTTAAAAATACAAAGTGATTTGTCTACGTTAAGTAATAAACTGTCTGTGTTGGAAAACAAGCTGCCCGCGTGAATTTCTGGTTTGAATGTTTATTTCTGAAACTAAATAAAGGAATCATTGTCTTCTATTGTTCGTTTTTTTTTTAAGTTTTTATTCATAGATGAGAGTTGAGTCCTATTAACTCATTTAAACAAATAGATAACATGACAGAGGTCGCAGGGAGCCGTTCCACGTCATGAGTTGAAAATTAAAGAAACTCACAACATACATTTTATTAAAAATATTTCGTCCGTTGTTACAATAAAACTGCATCATTTTATATCAATAAATACATATCTATTTCAAAAATAATAACATTTATAACATTAAACATGGTATAAAAGTATGATACTATTTTGATTATTATTTACAATTAATGTCAGTCCTAACACTGTTGCTATGTACAAGAATAATACAATAGAGGTATATTATGTGGACTAGTGTAACTATTATGTTACTAGTGAACATCACCTTTGTAACCAAACCGAATATTAACCTGTTTGCCTACCCCGTGGTACAACAATAAAACAACTTTGAAGCCTGGTACAAATTCCATTCAAAACATGAGCAAGCAACTGATTCACAACCAATAGAATAACTTTATAACTAGGTATTCAGTTTTGTACGAACATGTATTAATTATTTTATTGTGCATTTAAATTTAAAAACTGTGTGTCCGATCTAAAATTGGAAAAGAAAAAGGTTCTGTTCTACATTTTTATTTATGTCCATCTAATTTATTAATCTATATATTCGTAATCAAAGACGGACGGTTTTCAGAGCTATTGTTAAATATCTACATGTAACATATTAAGCTTCAATAATATTAGGAATTTACTATCTAAAGAGCTGCACAGGCTGCAGTTGATTTGTTTTTGGACCTAGCTAGAGGTATAAAAATATTTTATCTTGAGTATTGCAGTAGATAAAGCTCATTTTCCTAGTGAAATTACGTACATCTATTAAACTATTTGTTCTGTCCACTCTTGCATTATATTCGTTTCTTACAAGCGCACATGTCCTACATATCTGCCTACACATATCCAAAGCTTCTTTGATTTTATTCAGACTTAAGCATGCCTTACCTTTCCCAATTAAACTAATATTTGCTACTATTTATTTACCATAAAATGTACTTTTAAATAAAAACTGTAGAAATATAACAACAACAATGACCAGCCAAATTTGAGGTTTAATAACGATTTCTTAAATACAGATGATGTATTCTGAAACAAATAGAAAAATATCAAGTAAATATATGTAGGTAAATATAAAGAAAAATTCGTTAAAACATATTAGCATTGATTTTGTCACTTCAACCTTCGACAAAAGCAAACATACTTGACCAAAAAAGAATTCGCAAGACCATACTTTTTAAGACTTTCGTAATGTATAAAGAAGAACTTACTTTATGCTCGAGGTTGTACACACTCTGTACACAACATTGGCTCATGACCACGAAGCCACACATTCGGTCCTGCATGCCGAGTGCGTATTCTATACTACGGATAAGATCGTTCGTTTTCAACACTAGTAGCGCCTGTCTATCGACGTGCTCTAAACATTGTGTAACATAGTGCAAAATGTTTGGTAACTCATTTTGGAATGTTGATTTCTGAAAAAGAAGTATAATATTTACAACTGTAACCTATGTCTGACATAGTGATGGATTAATTTACTCAATCATTACATTGTAGGTAGGAATTGGCTTCTGATAACTGCATCATTAGGATTGTATAAATTAATTATTATCTTTTGTGATATTCAGTAACTACTGACGACGCGACGTCAGAATTTTTTCGTTGAGTTCGTTTTTAGTAGAGGTGTCTGCGATAGGCCATCTAGAATAGCAAGTCTACTAAGGTAGGCAGGTCTACGTAGCACTTTGATTCGACAAGAAAACAGGAATCTAAATGAGGCCGAATGTTTCCGTAAAATAAATAGAAAAATAATTGGTTGCCAATGATAAAGCAGCATTGCCTAATCCAACCTTTGTGGACCTTATCTCTTTCTACATCTGTTTAAAACTGCTAAAAAGGTTGTGATAGCTACTCACCTCATCAGACGTTGGTCTCGTCCGCCCAATGCCTTTCATGATGGAGTCCCAAGGTCTCCCAGTGACCATACACGCGAACAATCCATATAACTCCTTTCGAATCCCCAACTCTTCCGCGTGAACCCGCATCTGATCACGGTTGCGGTCGATGATCGATAACCATAACTTTGAATAATGATACCTAAACTTTTCTGATAGTTGCTGAAAAAAAGTAAATGTTTTTATGAAATGGATAAAAATGTATTTTTTTAATAAGAGATTTTTCCTACTAGGTTTTTTTCCGGTGTGGTAGATGAATATAATATAAACACTTAATTTTACGTGCACACTGTGACCCGGATCTTGGACAACGATTTGGGCATCACACGATTAACTAATTGTTGCGTGCGGACATCAAACCCGCGATACGTTGTGTAGCAGCGGGTACTGCAACAACGCTACACTATTTTTAGCAGTTTGAGCACTAGTTGTAATATAAGTACCCGACTGTATAAAAAAATATGAAACAATGATTGCGACATAGGTCTATGTAAAATAGTAATGTAAATTAAAATGCGGCCTTGATTTTTTTAATTTTAAATTCGTGTCACGCAACTTCCGAAGTATTCGATCAGGATTCTGTATTGTTCCAGAGTAATACATTATGTACTTAAATAATTAATAGATTCACAGATATAAATATAAAGAACCACCATAATAAATACGTACGACGTTAAAATACGTCATTTGGTATTCTGCCAAGCAAGATCATTAAAAGTTCCTTCCGAGCATCATGTGACCCTTTTATTTTTTGTTATAGGGCTTAATAATAGAAATATAATACTACACAGCATTCATAATAAGCAGTAAATATACTGAACTAATAATGCAGTAGTGACAATTGGCTACTACGCAACGTATCGCGGCGCCGGTTCGACTACCGAATGGAACAATTTTTGTGTTATCCAAAACTACGTGAACCACATCGAAGAAATTCTTGTGTGGGATCACTTTCCGTATAACCATAGAAAAAGTATACATCTAAACACTCAGATACAAAATTGGAGCCTCTGTTTGTTACAATTTTTATGTGTCTGTTTGTACTGGCTAATCTCTGGAACGGCTGTACTGATTTTGCAAGACTCTTATTAGCAGGTAGCTGATATACTAAGGAGTTAGGTTACTTAGTAACTAAGTTAGGTTACTTTTATTTTGAAGAATTGAAATAAAAAAGTTATGCTCTAAAATTCATACTCTATGCGGAAGAAGTCGCGAGCAACAGCTAGTATTACATAAAAGATGTAATCACTACACAAGCTACTGTTTAAAAATATAAATAATGGATCAAACCATTTAATTTTAGCAGCACAGTAATAAATCGATAATAAATTATAGCAATAATTTTATATCTGTCATCATAGTTTTACTTATCTTTTGAGACTATTAACTACAAGAATTATTACTTGTAAAAACAAATGAAAGTATAATAATAATATTACAATATCTTGTGTACAGATTTCATTGATAAATAATAATTTGATTGACAAATTAAAACTCTCTCATAAAACTCATATTAATGAACTACCTTTATGAAATACTTTGCTACAACTTACAGCATACAAACCGTGGTCCAACAAATAGACGGTGACATCCTTGTCTTTCGGATCCCTCTTCACAAGTATATTGCCTGGATGAGGGTCACTGTGTACGAAGCCACTGACGAATATCATGTGCGAATACAGGTCACCCAACTTCCTACATAGATCAAATCTGTTGATTTTATGTTCCTAAAAACAAATGAGTTATGTAAATGTTGTGATAAAGATTGCTTCAAGCTGATTGATTTAGAAGGCTTTGAGTAGGCTTAAAGGTAAAGTGACTATGACATAACTATGAGTAATTTCCCATCATCTTAACAACTTTTAATGTAAGTGTATGTTTGTAAATATCTAATCTAATTTTAATAGATATTGATACAAGGATAGATAGAATTCTTAGAACTCAGTCTCTAATCTGTTATAAGTTATTTAACTCGTAAAATTTGTTCATACAAAAATAGTCATGAAACATTGGAAATAAGGTCTATAACGTAGTTAGTGGAGATCGGTCACCGGTGACCGCTTGGGGATATTTGGGTTAACTGATCAATCCCCAAGTGATGACCACCCTCCACTAACTTCATTATAGCCCTTATTTCCAATGTTTAGAGACTACTTTTTAGGAGATGATTTTCAACAATTTTCAATGGGTTAAAGGTCTAACTTTGAACTTTAGAGCTAGTTAGTCATACAAAATACTGTGAAGGTTGAAAAATTGTCTTCAATTTGTTGACAAAATCTACATACACATTACATTGAAAGGCAGGTTAAATCTAATTTCACAATGACTAGTTATTTATACAACAATGTCAATATAAAACAGCATTATGTAATTCAGTAAATACTCTTATATTATAATTGTATTATTAACGGTACTTAGGAAAAGTAGTTGATGTGGGTCAAGGTTATTCATACATTTACTGTGTTATAATAATTTGCATAACATCATGGATGTTATATATGAAAAGATAGGCCATGGTGTAATTATTATTTTCAAAGTAAATAAAGAATAAGATTAAAATGACTTTTGAATTGTTTTTAGCAATTAATGCATCATGTATAAATTATATCATTAGATAAATGAGAAAATACTGTTGAAATGATAAGTAACTATTATGAAAAGTAATCAATTGGCCTTCTATAACCAGTGAGCAATAATTGTACCTTATTTCATAATACACTAACTTCCTACTGATGTTCATTCATGTGCAATGTACAAAGGCATTGTGAAACTAAAGAGTTTTGTACTGGATGCTATTAATTTTAATACTTACATCAATATATTTTAGATCATTCACCTGGCCACCACTCACATACTCCATTACAAGAACCCTCTCAGTACTGTATTCCCAAAAAATCTTTGGTACCTTCAACCAATTATAATTTTTAAATAAAACGGCAACTCTTTCAGCATTTCGACCTTCTTGAAGGAAATCCAACTCTTTTGCAATATTCTTTTTGGTTTCATCAATAAGCCATTGTAATTCAAAATCAGGGAACACCTTAGACATGGTTGTTATTATGAATTCCATCCATTTTAGGTCCATTTTGACATTATCTCTTACAAAATAATGTTGAACTTTTACAGCAACATCTGTGCCATCTTTCAACTTAGCTTTATGTACTTGTGCTAATGATGCTGTGCCTAGAGGTTCAGGCTCAAATTCTTCAAACAAATCTTTGGGCTGAAAAGTGAAATTGTGGTGTAATACTTCAGAATGGAAACAAGACAACTGACTGTTTACACAGCCTTTAAACTAACTTCTTAATTTAATAAGATTACTTACATCTCGTTTCAAATCTTCTTTCATAACTTTATACAGCTCTTCAACACTGTTTCTTGGTGCATCCTTATGAAGTATTCTCATTGTTTTCACATACTCATTGGGTAACAAGTAGTCCAATGCTCCTACATGCTGTCCAACTTTAATATATACGCCTTTGTTAGCTTTACATAGCTCGAGCAATTTCTCTGCCCCAATTTGATGAGCTTGACTCTTGACCTCCAAATATTCTTGCGAGCTTCTATCCCATTCCCTGCTGTATAACATGGATTTGTACGTTCTTCCAATTTCCACAGCTGTGAATGCTGTCCTGGATAGCCTGACGACTGCCAATGAATCGTAATCACCATCGTTGAGTTTCACAGCAGCAGTAACTGTACCACCAATAGCTACACTGCCATAAAGTCCGTACTTAACCACACGCGGCAACCTTCTCGACAACATGTTTACTAAGCTATAATTATTTTACCACGTATTAGTCACATATTACTATTAAAGTTACTATTTTCTAAGCAAAGCTATTCGAGAGACGACTCACGACAGCCCATGCAAATAGAACGTGAACAACCAAACCAACCAATGTCATTATCACGAAATCACGATTGTTTGTCAGTCAGCCATTGTCAGTGTCATGTCATAAAAGTATTGCTGTCAAAACTACAAAAGTAAGGCGTGGGGAATGGGGTGGTTAATGTAATTTTTTTTATGGGATAAGTGAAACGATCTCTGTCCACAACGATAATAAGCAATCAGCACCGCCTATCCCATGGGCACCTAAAACACCAGAGGTGTTATAAGTGTGTGCGCTTATGGAGGTTAAGAATTTGAGGATTATTGGGGAATTGAGGAAGTATAACTCTCCCATATTTATTAAGCATGTCACGGTTATTACTTTATTTTGCTACTAGCTTCTGCCAGTGGCCTCATCCACATTTTTTATCCCACGAGAATACCTCGTGGGATAAAAAATAGCCTGTATGTTAATTCAGACTTATACTTAGTTTATTTATCCTTGTTCCAAACATTCCGATCCTATCAGCCGTTTTGACGTGATTGGGTAATAATCATATTACATTTCCTAGGAGTGGTCCCCTAGTTAATGTTTGTGTGATGCTGAATGACCGCCGAGCGCGAAAAGTCAGCTTAAATCCTCAATTTAAATATAAATATAAACTCAAACCTATCAGTAAGTGGATTTAACGTCACTGTATGGGCTTTCGAAATAAAGGGTTTTTCGATCACGTATGATTCGATAGTATATATCGGTGACGTCGAATATTTTTTACAAGATTTTTTTTACAACTACAATTGCGTTGCTGGCATTTTGGGGGTTACCTAGTATAGTTAAGGATATCGGTCATTGTGGATGGGGAGATTTCGGAAGGAGGAACACGAATTTCCAGTTATTTCGCTCACATGGTCAAATACAATCGTTGTTTCACGCCGGATGCACGCGCCGGTTCTCTGTGCGACCGTGGTCGCCGTAGTATCACGCTGGTCACGCCGACCTATTTGTGCTGAATAAAGATAGGCATTTTTTATAAATACTAAAAATAAATAAACACTCTGTAAACTTCTGTTTCTACTCAACTATTTGCGTGAATAGTCGCCCATCTCTATTATACGGTTTGAGTACAAAATATCTTAAAGAATATATAAAAATATTAATGTTTACATCTATTATAAATAATTTATAATTTTCATTATAGATAAGAGTACAAATAATCGTAACAACTTCACTAAATAATAATTTTGCAAACAGTTTCTTTTTTATTAAGTTTAATTTTTTTTAGTGTGGTAACTTCCATTGAGTGACGCCATCTTTCTTTTAGGTCAGTGTTCCGCTTCCGTTGACAGATCTTTTTAGATTAAAACCTCCGAAAATGAAGGCTAAAGGAGAGGTAAGTCTCGAAAAAAATATAGAAAACATGTGAATAATGTGCATTAAAATAATTAATTTCCAACGACAAATAATATTTAGTGGTTCTAACATGAAAAACAGTGGTTATAAGGTGTAAATGTTTAACGGAGTGTGGCGTACACGTTGTCGGTGCATTCTTTTGAAATTAGTTTACTTGATAATTCTTAGTTTAATACGATAGTGAATATAAATACATTGTTTATCTGAAACTATAATTAATTAACTCTTCAAAATTATATTACCTTTTGTGCCTGTAATGTAACAATGACACTAAAAAATAGATGCGCTTTTAGGTTATGTCATGTTGTGATGCGGTCGCTATGTTCCAGCTATTTTATCTCCTAGTTCCAAGATTAAAAAGACAAACAGAGAATTAAGGTCACATATATTTTTGTATCGTAGCAATAAAGTTTCGTGCTGGTTTCATTCGGTGATCGTAAAATAATGTGAGTTCCAACCTAAGGACTTGGAGGTAAGCATGGTTTCATGTGTAAACATTTGTTGCAGTTGAAGGAGTATGAGGTCATCGGCCGCAAGCTCCCCTCGGAGAGCGAGCCCAAGCCTCCTCTATACAAGATGAGAATCTTCTCCCCAGACCAGATTGTGGCCAAGTCCCGTTTCTGGTACTTCTTGCGTCAATTGAAGAAGTTCAAGAAGACCACTGGTGAAATCGTCTCTATCAGGGTTAGTATGATGTCTTTATTTGTATGTTATTCTTTTGAAATGATTTATATGAGGAGTAAAAAGTACCTTTGTTTCTTTTTCTGATAGTGTAGGTTTTTTAACCATTATGATTTGGAATCTTCTGCACTCATTACTTAGGTTTAAAAGTTAAAATCAATGGGCATAAGTTATTAGTATCTTTCAAAGTGAATTAGTCACAAAACATGGTTTTCTTTTGCATTCTGCACCTATTATTTTATTTTAAAAGATTTTTACTTGGTGGTCTGTGAGATATCAATTGAAATCTTTCTCTGTCTTTGACACTCCTTTGTTGAGGTCATATGATAGACCCTGTCACTAAGCAAATATTTAGAAATTTAAATTAATTGGATATGTGGTTATAAGTGTAAAGTGGATAATATTGTACTAAGTAACCTGTACCTAAATTTGTCGTCAGAGATATCAATTAAATATTAAATAATAAAATATAGCACCCATAAATGATTTGGCTGATTCAAAGAATAAAATGTTTCATCAAGTTATGTTAATGTCTCTACTAAATGAGCATAATAAAAGTTAAAGTCTGTTATCGAAAAATATGACAATTGTAAATAAGCTTACCTTTCATTTTAATATTCCAGGAAATCCCAGAGAAGAGCCCAGTGAAGATCAAGAACTTTGGCATCTGGCTGCGTTATGAGTCTCGGTCTGGTGTACACAACATGTACCGTGAGTACCGTGACCTCAGTGTCGGAGGTGCTGTCACTCAGTGCTACCGTGACATGGGAGCCAGGCACAGAGCCCGTGCTCACTCCATTCAGGTGATTATTATTATTCAAATTAAGAAATCTTATAGCATTTTGTATAGTAACATAACAACATCACACCTTTAATCCCCTAAGGGGTAGGCAGAGGTGCACACAGAAGTGACACTCACTTTTCACTATTTATGTTATGAGTCCCATGTAATAGGGGGTGAGCCTATTGCCATTTACTGGGCACATTTCCAGACTCCGTGCTACTACAGAAAATCTCAGTAATACTTTGCCCGAAATCGAACCTGAGGCCCCTTGCCCGGCAGTCGCACTTTTCACTATTTATGTTATGAGTCCCATGTAATAGGGGGTGAGCCTATTGCCATTTACTGGGCACATTTCCAGACTCCGTGCTACTACAGATTTTTTTAAAACACAGTAATATTTTGCCCGACCCTGGGATCGAACCCGAGACTCCTTGCCCGGTATTCGTACTTGCGAACACTGTCAACGTAGCAGTTGATGTTGTATAGTGTTCTGTATAGTACATTGACACATGTTGCTTCAATGTTTATGTTAATTAATTAATTTTGATTGTGGAATAAGAACAAATATTAAATAATATGATTAAAGTTTTAGACATCAGCATTCATGTTTTTTATGATGTTGGCCTAAACTGAGATTTAACTATTTCTTTAATTGTTGATGCTACCAAAGTACCAGTTTATGGTTTAACCCGTGGACTGTAGATCCACATGAGATGTTGACTTTGTGTGTAGTAAAATGTTTATTTTGTCTGGGAATTTAATAGCAATATTCCTCATGATTTCACTAGTTGTTTTTCTGTATGTTGTAAAAGTTTTATGTTAGCATTCATCCATGTTGTTTGTATTGTCTATTTCAGTGCTTATTTTGTTGAGATAGTATGCAGGGAGGTGTTTTACAACTTTTACAACAGAATCAATCCATTACTAATATTTATGATAGGCATATTTATCTAAATGACCTGTATGTTATTTGAATATTTATTTTCTTATTTATAGATCATCAAAGTGGAGGTCATCAAGGCGTCTGCGTGCCGCCGGCCGCAGGTGAAGCAGTTCCACAACAGCACGATCAGATTCCCTCTGCCCAAGCGCGTGCACCACCACAAGCGCCTCAACACCTTCGCATACAAGAGGCCCAGCACCTACTTCCTCTAATTTTATTATGTATGCTGTTATAATAACATTAAAATCCACATTATGATGTGGGAAAAAAAATATTCTATTTTGGTTTTAATGTTTTACCCAGTATGCTAATTTAATGTAACAATATTAATCAAGCCATTGCTTCTTCGAATCGACGCTACGCAAAATTATCCATTGAGGGCTGATTAGAAGCGGATAAACTGCTATCCTATAACATTATAGACCTTATTTCCGATGTTTAGAGACTACTTTTGTGTATAAACAAATTTAGGTTACGATGTTTCCTAAAAGAGATTATACAGTTCTGGGCCTGATGGTGGTAATGTCGCGTGAAGTCAGTTTTGTCCAATGATTGTAACTGTCGGACACTAGTAAAGCCCCGAGAAGACACTAGTGTCCTGTCCCAGCCACTGCATTATATAACTTATTTCCGATACTTCGAGACTACTTTAGAATAAACAAATATGTTACTAAAATAAGTAAGTTAACGGGTTTTGATAATAACTCTGACGAAGCTCACTGCATTAGGACGTTTTTACTTTTCTTGATCTGACTAGTGTAGATAAATCAATTCCAATGTAGGTACAATTAAAATAACAGTTTGAGTTTCTTTATTTTTTATTGCCAATAAGTAAGATATTTATATTCTGAAAATACACATCTATTAAAGTTCGCAAAAATTTAGGCAAAAAATAATGTCATAATTTTATTGAATAGGTATCTATCAAGGCAATTAGGTACCTAAAGAAAACTTACAGGATCCTGTGAATTAATAGGAGCATCAACATCGCGAATATTAGATCTGTAAGTATTGGGTTGTTTCCTCATGCAAAAAACAAATTGTCAAAACTTCAATACATTTAACTTTATCAAACAACGTATCATAATATGTATTTTCATTATTCAATTTGTGTGCGTTACCCAGGCAAAATGTTTTGCTTTAGAGAGATGAGACTTAAACAAATAATTAGTGTATCATGAGGAGCAATTTGTTTACTAATAGCAAAATTTGTTTGAATTGTAGTTTTTAAGTTATTTAAGAAAAACAAATTTTGCTGGAGTAACGTTT